CATTTCTCTCTGAAAGCTGAGGAAAATTAAACTTCAAAGTCACATGTTTTTAAAATTAGCACTGAAGTAGAGCACCACACACACAAACACACCTCACTACACATAACTTCAAAACTATACAAACTAGGTATTTTAACAACATGATCTTAAAAAGCAAGATGAAAAATGTACGCTTTCTACAAGTGCTTAAAAATTCTAAATATCAAAATAAAAGACTGTTTAACAAGACTATATTCATAAAAACTAAAAACAGATATTTTTCTATTCCAAACTTGGTATTCTTATATTGACAGTAGTTTAAGATGAAAGCTACCTCCACAGTTCAAGTAAATTAGCCTGACATCGCTAAACAGTGCAATCAAAATTTTGCTCAAGTTCTGAACGTACATTAAATCAAGAGATCATGCACACAATTCTTCAAAACCTTTATATAAGGCATTTCCACATAACTTAACGCCAATTCAAGGTTATAGTCAACATAAAACACAAAGGAAACTAGTACAATATCCTTACCATTAATGAAATATTCATCTAACAATCTGTTTCAACAATATCGACATTAGGTTTTTCACAGTGACTTTCTTTTTAAGTAGCAAAAGGTAGTTTTTGTTAAAGTATATAAAATACATACGAGGGTTTTGTATCTTTACTGAAGAATCAGGATCTGGATGCTGTTTATGTACCACCTGAGTACCAATCTGTTCTATAAGAATCTACAAAAGTAAAACAATGGTTAACATTAGAAAACCACTATATTAGCATCACTATTAATGAACTGTAAGTACAATATTAAACAGTGCAATATTCTCATGCTAAATATTTAATACATAAAAAACAACTTCAGTGGATGGGCTTGGTGGCTCATGCCTGTAATCTTAGCACTCTGGGAGGCCAAGACAGGAGGACTGATTGAGGCCAGGAGTTCAAGACCAGCCTCAGCAAAAGTGAGACCCCATCTCTACAAACAATAAAAAAAATTAGCCAGGCACGGTGGCATGTGCCTGTATTCCCAGCTATCTGGGAGGCTGAGACAGGAAGATCACTTAAGCCCAGGAGTTTGTGGGTGCAGTGAGCTATGATGACATCACTGTACTCTAGCCCAGGTGACAGAGCTAGACTCTGTCTCAAAGAACAAAAACAAAACAACTTCAGCATTATAACTCTATTTTTACTAAATTATAAAATGAGATATCAAATAGTCAATACAATGGAGGAAATACTTAAGTAGAAATAACTAGTTTATTAACTCACAGATTAATAACTGATTTCTAAAAATTCAGCCATATCTCCTTTATATAATTGCAAAACTGTACACTATATTATCTAAATGGTTTTATTTTATCTAGACACTGTCAACAAGCACTTTTATAATAAGAAATTAGTAACAGTAAATTCTAACTACATTCCTACCTCAAACAGAACGTTATATGTGGTCATTGTGATTAAATTTGTCTGAAGCATGAGTCTTTCAGCTAGCAATGAAAACAATCCATGCCCAAGCATGACTTCAGCTTTCCTCCTGCAATTACACATAAAGAAATCATCAAATGCAGAGTTTTACTACACACAACTTAGTATGCATGCTCGACAAAGGAAACACAAAACCTTTTTTCACATTACAAACAAATTCCACCTCAATTACTCTCCCAATTTTCTTCGATCTAATACTTTTCAGTACAGAAATGCTAACTACAATATAAGCAAAGCTAAAGTTTAAAAAAAAAAAAAAAAGATCGGCTGTCACAGCACAGCAAAAACCTCCACCAAAATATTCAGAGCAATTATTTATTTAACTAGTTGCTACTATCTGCCAGCACTGAGGTAGGCTCTACCGGGGATAATCATCTAAAGCACAATAAGTAGTAAAATAGAAAAGCAATGTGGAGGAAAAGGTAGAAGAAATATACAATAATTTAAGAAAATGAATACTATGGGAAAATATATGCAAAAATAACCTTCCAATCATAAATTTAGAAACCAAAGGATCACAAACTTTAGTTCTACCCCTGGGATCAGCAAACTTTCGCTGCAAATGGCTAGATAATAAATATTTTAGGATTTGTGGACCATATGATCTCTGTCACAACTCAACACTGCCCTTACATCATGAAAGCAGCCATGGATAATACACAAATATAATAAATTATTGTATCTGTGTTCCAATAAAACTTTACAGGTGGCCAGCTGGATTCCTAAAAACTACAGTTTACCAACACTTGTTCTACCCCTCAAAGTTTTAATTTTTATAATTAACTATTTCTACGTAGAACATGAATGTCTGCATTCAGCTAAGAAAATATACATGGGAGTTTCAGTTGTTAGGTATACAGCAGAATACACTATGTGACAACATCCAGGTTACTGTATCAGCTTTATAGTACAGATAAAGCAAATAATGATGCAAGTCATCTGAAATGTAGTCTCCCTGGTTTCTAGAATTCAATTTATCCAAACTAATTCTCATAATTAACACAAAATATACAAATAATTTAAATAATTTCCATGTAAAACAAACGAAATACTCCCATTCAACTTTATTTTTAAAATATGTACTAATGGGATTAAGTTCATACAGCATTTTATGAATAAAAATAAAAGAGACTACGGAGACCACAGAACAGAATGTTATTCCGGGGTTTATTAAAAATTAGTAAAATACAACAGTCCATTTTAGATTTCATGCATACTCACTTTGGAGCCAGATGTTTTAAAAAATAGCCCATTGCCTTAAGAGCTTGTACTCTGATTCCTTCGCTTTTCGATGCCAGAAGTTTGTAGATAACACTAAATTAATAAAAATTAAAAACAGACCATTCTAAGTATAATTTTCAAAAATAAAGACTTAAGATATATATTATTTCCTA